ATCTTGAAGTTTAAAAACCATCCTAATAAAATGTGGAACATTCTTAAAGACTTAGGTACATCATCCAAATGTAAAACAAAATCTACCAACATTGGGTTATTCATAAACAATGAGGTCTGTTATGACAAATTCAAAGTTGCAAATAAATGTAATTCATTTTTTACATCTGTAGTGTCACAACTTGTTCAAAAGTTACCTGCATGTACTGGTAAATATCGAGGGCTGACTGCAATAAACAGTTATGTCCAGATGTTATATATTGGACATAACTGTTTATTGCAGTCAACCCTCGATATGGGATGGCACACGTTTTCAACTTCTACTGCTCTGGAAATGTAATGTTAAATTCTTTTCATTTTTCAGAGGTATCTGCAGATGAAGTGCACAAGATCCTGTCAAATCTCAACCTGAGCAAGGCTACCGGTTTAGATCAACTATCCCCCAAGTTTGTTAAGGATGGTGCCAAACTCCTATCATCACCCCTTGCACATATTCTAAATTTATCTTTTTCTTCAGGAATAATCCCGGATGACCGTAAAATAGCAAGGGTTACACTGATCTTTAAGAAATCCAGCAAACTGGATCCGAGTAGCTATAGACCTGTGTCAATTCTTAGTACTTTATCTAAATTGTTTGAGAAAGTGGTGTATAATCAATTGCATCAGTATCTCTCCGATAATAAACTCCTTTTTGAGTATCAATCAGGTTTTCGGCCGATATACTCGACCAACACCTGTCTGGTCCACCTTACAGATTTTATCAGGCATGAACAAGACAAAGGAAATTGCATAGGCATGGTACTGCTGGACCTCCAGAAAGCCTTTGATACGGTGGACCATAGTATATTACTGACCAAGTCGGAAGCAATAGGTCTCCAACTAGTGGCAGTTGATTGGTTTAAGTCATATCTGCAATCCCGAAAGCCAGTTGTGGAGATTGGGGGAACACTTTCAGACCCAGCAGATATATCATGTGGTGTTCCTCAAGGGTCCATATTAGGCCCTTTGTTATTTTTCATCTATCTCAATGATATCACCTCAGCTGTTACATGTAAACTTCGTTCATATGCTGATGACTCTGCCCTGATTGTGGCTGACAAGAGCCCAGAGGTGATACAGCATAAACTCTCTTGGGAACTGGAATCAATCTTGACAATAAACTATCCCTACGTCTTGGTAAGACTGAGTCAATACCTTTGCATCAAAGAACAAACTCAAAACAAAAACCATTCAGGTGCAATGTGATGGCAATGTGTTAATGAATCGCTCGAATGTAAAATATCTGAGCCTAAAGCTTTGGATGGAGAGAAAATTGTGGACCTTATTGTCAGAAAGTTTAATGCAAAATTAAAGTTGTTATATCGGCAGGCTGACCAAGTTAGCTACAAAACTAAGAAGTTGCTTGTTTCGGCCCTTATTCAGGGTCATTATGACTATGCCTGTATGTCATGGTACTCTGGGTTAACCAAAAAATGCAAAAATCGGTCGCAAGTTTCTCAGAACAAAATAATTTGTTATCTTTTGGGTGCACAGGCCAGAACGCACATAGGTGCTGATGAATTCAGACAGGTAAATATGTTGCCCGTACACATGCGCGTTTCTCAAATCAAGCTGAACCTTGTATTCAAAATTATCCATGGACTTGCCCCTATCTATTTTTCGGACCAGTTCAGCTTGATTCAAAATCTACATTTTTACAATACCAGGTCAAGTGCACTCTCTCTCCAGATACCTCATGTAAAATCTTTCGGAAAATTATCCTTTCGCTATATAGCCATAACAGAGTTTAATTCATTACCAAATGTTATTAAATCATGGGAAAGCTTAGCCAGCTTTAAATCAGATGTAAAATGTCATCTTTTTAGTCAACTGGTCTACCAGGAAGCACAGTCCTTCATGTATTACTAAATTGTTAAGGTTTTTAGGTCAGTCAATTTATTTATCTATTCATGTATAGTTGTTTTGGTATTACTTGTTTAACATTATTATCATTATTATTATTTGCTGTATATGAAATTTGTATATTAGAGATGTCACAGCACCAAAAGTTCAGTAGTCGGTGCCAATACCAGTAAAATTACACGATTCTCAATGCCAATTCGATACCAAGGTAAAAAAAAAAAAAAGAAGGATTTTTAAAGATCACATGGCAACGCGACCGTTTTTGCCTAGAAAGTCGAACAACAAAGTCCCATGATCTGACAAGAAGTTATCATAAAGAACGTCATTCTTTTGTTCACGTTCACTCGGTTCAGAATAAACTCTTTTAGTTCAAAGTTCATTCAGCCAAAGAGGGGTGCGTTCAGTTCCCGTTCTTCAAAAAAAGGAACGTGTTCAGGCACAACACTGGATAAGGCATTGCAACACGTGCCCGCGAGCCATCCCAAACATCATGTAACGTGTATTTCAGTATGACATATTAAAAAAGAAAACGATGATTCGTTAAAACGTTTGGATGTTGTTAATCAGTGACGTGCGGTCGGAGGTTAGTTTGGTGAGGCAGAATCCTCCCCTTTTCCCCACTATTCGGCAGAATGACGGGCCAGTTTAAGTTTCCGCGGCCTTATTACTCAGTAGGCTACATCGAGCCTGAAATGCTCACGAAACTGCAGATTTGCGTGTACTTGCTTGCAGGAAGCCAGAGACGTGCGGTGAGGTGAGGCAGTGACCCAAACTTTTATCACAGGATTTTGTGAACCTGTTCCCACGTACCATTCTTGATTGACAATCAAAACAATTAAGACCAAGCCTATAGGAAGCCAGTATACTGATAGAGGAGATAATGACAAAAAGATTCATTCACGTATACCCTTCAATTCGAGACTGCAAGGATGGAAAGCTGAATAATGAATTAGGAAAAATTCTCGGCTGTCGGTAATTCTGTACATCATTTAAACATTTTGTTTATCGGATTATGAAAGAAGACTGAAAATAAACGCCCGCTTTTTTTTTTCTTAGCTAACGGGTTAGGTATGAGAGTGTAATTTTAGGTTCAACGTTTGCTCGCTAATATTTGGGGAACTGTCAGGTCATCACTCTCCACAATCAATAGCCAGTAGTGATTTGTGTCGTGTATAAGAGCTGATAGCTGCACAAAGTTTGTCCCTGCAAGAAATTTTAGAGTACAAGTTGGCTAATGAGTTAGATGGCAAGCTGGCAAAGTTAGCTGGCTAATAACTAACCCTACCTAACTAAATTGTGCTGTATCATTCAAAGACAAACTTCCAATTACCATTCAAGCTTCAGTTAGAGGTAGGTATTAGTGATCCTGTGGCAAGTTTGTGGTGTTTAAACGTTTAATAAAGATGTCTACAACCCCAATTCCGAGATAGTTGGGACGAAGTGTAAATTGTGAATAAAATCAAAATGCAATGACTTTCAGATCACATGAGCCAATATGTTATTTACAACAGAACAAAGATAACATTTCAAATGTTGAAACAGACATTTTTATCCACAAAATGAGCTTATTTCGAATTTTCTGGCTGCAACAGGTCTCAAAAAAAGTTGGGATACAGGCAAAAAAGGGCTGAAAAAGCAATTAATATATAAGAGAATCAGCTGAAAGAACATTTAGCAAGTAATTAACTGGCATCAAGTGTGTAACATGATTGGGTATAAAAGGGATGTCTTAGAGAGGCTGAGTCTCTGAGAAGTAAAGATGGCCAGAGGCTCTCCAACCTGTGAAGGCTTGCATAAAAAATTGTGGAATACTTTAAAAGCAATGTTCCTCAATGTCAAATTGCAAAGGCTTTGAAGGTCTCATCATGGACAGTGCATAACATCATCAAAAGATTCAGAGAAACTGGAAAAATCTCTGTGCGTAAGGGACAGGGCCGAAGACCTTTACTGGATGCACGTGATCTTCGGGCCCTCATACGCCACTGCATCACTCACCGGCATGATTCTATCATTGACATTACTAAATGGGCCCAGGAATACTTCAAGAAACCACTGTCTGTAAACACAGTCCGCCGTGCCATCCACAGATGCCACCTAAAACTCTATCATGCAAAAAGGAAGCCATTGTTGAGCGTGATCCAGAGGCGCCGCCGTATTCTGTGGGCCAAGGCTCATTTAAAAGTGGCTAAGTGTCCTGTGGTCAGACGAGTCCAAATTTGAAATTCTTGTTGGAAATCATGGGCGTCGTGTCCTCTGGGTTAAAGAGGAAAAAGACCACCCCTCATGTTAACAGCGTTCAGTTCAAAAGCCAGCATCTCTGATGGTATGGGGATGCAATAGTGCATATGGTGTGGGACACTTGCTTGTTTTAAAAAGCACCATGAATGCTGAAAGGTATATAAAGGTTTTAGAGCAACATATGCTCCCCTCCAGACGACATCTATTCCAAGGAAGGCCTTGTGTATTTCAGCAGGACAATGCAAAACCACATACTGCAGCTATTACAACAGCATGGCTTCGTAGTAGGAGAGTCTGTGTGCTGAACTGGCCTGCCTGCAGTCCTGATCTTTCACCGATTGAGAACATTTAGTGCATAATTAAAGGAAAAGTCCGTCAAAGGAGACCCAAAGCTCTCCAGCAGCTGGAAGCCTGTATTAAACGAGTGGGATCAAATTCCAATGGCTAAACTCAAGAAACTTGTCTCCTCAATGCCCAGACGCCTCCACTCTGGGGCGGCATCAGGCCCAGCGCTAAAACAGGGAATTGGGGGGGCACAAACACGTCCCTTTATGACAAGAATTAGTCCTGGCAAGTTCTCAATCATTTTCCATTATTGACGCTTTTTCCAATTATCGTAATTGGCATCTGAAGACAGTAATTATTTTTTTAAATAAATTTTTTTTTTTGCACTGAATTTAGCCCATGATTTCCTCGCTGTTAGATGGCATATGGAGAGGAACCGTGTCTTCAGTTGCCAATTACAATAATTGGAAAACGTGTCAATAATAGAAAATGATTGAGAACTTGCCAAGACTAATTCTTGTCATAAAGGGACGTGTCTGTGCCCCCCAATAAGTCTCTGTTCTAGCACCAGGCCTGAGCAGCATGGCTCAGGGGGTAGAGTGGGTGATCTAGGAATCAGAAGGTTCCTGGTTCAATCCCCGGCTCTTCCAGAGAACGTGTCAAAGTGTCCTTGAGCAAGACACTGAACCTCACACTACTCCTGATGTGCAGGTTGGTGCCTTGCATGGCAGCCTCCGCCATCAGGGTAAATGAGTGGCATAATTGTAAAGCGCTTTGGGGTCATGACATGTGACTAGCAAGTAAATGCAGTCCATTTACCATTTACCACTCTATGTTAAAAAGAAGAGGGGATGCTACACCATGGTAAACAGGCCCCTGTCCCAACTGTTTTGAGACCTGAAGCAGCCATCAAATCTGAAATGAGCTCATTTTGTGGATAAAATTGTAAAATTTCTGTTTCAACATTTGCTATGTTATCTCTGTTCTATTGTGAATAAAATACTGGCTGGTGTGATTTGAAAGTCATTGCGTTTTGATTTTATTCACAATTTACACTTTGTCCCAACTATTTCGGAATTGGGGTTGTAGAACTGAAAGGATATTGATCTGATGTGAAAAACACATCTTTGAAAGAAGATGAGATGACTTAAAGGGCGGGGCCTCAGAGCCCACTGGCAGAGTCACTCCACTTAGTGAGTGGTTCTGTGCAGTTGGTCAGATTACATTTTGTTTATAAACAACTGCTCTTACACTTGCAGTGTGTTAGAACATTGGGGCACCCTTTCTGTTGTCCAACTCACTGGATTTTTATCTTAAAAGTGCTCTGTATTAAATCTAGGGGCAGCGTTTAATACTTAGGACCAGAGGTCGCGTTAACCGCATATTTTCCGTAATTGACGGATTTTTTTTTAACTATGACGGAAAATTTTGAAGGCGATCCGTCATTTTGACAGAATGTAATTCACACCCCCATCCAGTTGGTGGTGGGTGTCATATTGTCTTGAACGTTGTCTTTGATCTGTATGACAGAGATGCCAAGTCTCGTGCATTCGGCGTAGGTCTTACGCATTTTTTAGGCTTATTCACCGTAGTCTGCAATTATTCAATGAACGCTTACTAATGAGATTCTCATGCGGAATTAAAAACTTGTGCATTGAAGTTTCAGTTTCACTTGCGTGAAGGTGGACCTCACAATGGAAAGCTATAATGACTCCGGACTTCTCGTGCTTCTCTTTACTTAGGGATTGGAAACAATGCATGTTTTTCATGATCGTTTAAATTGTTTAAATGAAATAAGACCATTTGAAACGTCTTTACGCAATTCCATTGCTTTCAATCCCTCAGTAAAGACAAGCGTGAGAATTCCCGAGTCATAATCAATTTCCGTGTCACTAATGGGGAAATCTACCGTAATGCACGGGAAACTGATTAACTTCATGTACAATGACTTGAATTCCGCGAGTGAATTTCTACAGTTCGTGTTGATTGAATAATTGCTGACTACGGCACAGGAACGTGAATGCCACTAAGAGGCGAGAGACTCATGCCGAACGCGTGAGACTTGGCATCTCTGGTATGATCCTGTATTCCTCATATTTTTGTAATATGACCATTTGCTCTTCATTTGTAAAATATGCTGCTCTGCTGCCGGTTGACGATTGGTCATATGCTAGAAACACCGTCTCTGTTATGTGAACACGCAGATATCTAGGTCGGGAAAGTCCTGGTTGACATAACGAGTTGATGAGCAGCTTCGTAGGACCGCTTAGCGAGACTGCGGGTGTTAGGCTTAGTGAAGCCCAGCAATAACTGAAAGCATTGTTCATTTGTGCACTGTTACTGTGTGGGGGGGGGGAGAAATCATTTGTAATGTTTTATAAAGTTCATACAGCAGTAAGTTCGAAAATCCACGCAGTGCCGTATTTAACACAGTGCGCAATGTATGTCTACATGAATCACTGTCAGCATCAGCTAATGCGTAATCTATAAATTATTCTGTTTATTTTATTTTAAAAAAATAAATGATTGTCATTTTAAAAAATAAAATTACAATGACAGATAATAATTGATTATGACGGAATTTTTATGCCCGTCTGTCACAATGACGGACAATCAGAAAGTGTAACGCGACCTCTGCTTAGGACCTAACTGCAGGGGACTCCAATGGAGCAGGATCACCTGTCTCAAGCTCTCGACAATGTATTCGAGGGTAAAAAAAAAAAAAACATCATCTTGTCTTCGGGGTTCTGGGTTTCCTGTGCAAGACAAGGCTGACATTGAACATTTTGTCATTTAAGTTTGACAACCAAAAATGCTTATAACTACGGGATTTTTCAACTGCCCTTCAAAATTCAACTTCAACGATAAAACTAGTGGATGTCCTCCATCCACTGCCATTGGTTAGATTTTGTCACTATCCACAGTAATGGCTAATCTGGGCTGGGAAAAAGGGGCAGATCCAAGATAGTGTATCGTACAATAACAACAATGCATTTTTTAAGTAGAAAAATCCTGATTGCGTTGTCAGTGCTTTTCGGAGTATCTGTGCGGTTGGCCCTGGTTGTCAATGCTCTTTGAAATTTGAAATTTAACCATTATCGGCTTCCCTTTAGTCCACATTTTTTAAGTGTTCGATTTACAAATCATCTGACTATCATTATGCAAAAAATGACCATTTTTGGTTCCTGATTTTTCCTGCTCATCCCCAATTCAAAACAGGCATAAATAACAGCAGTAATTGAACATTATAGCAATTTCATGCTTTATACAAAGTGTGACTACAGGATACTAGGTGTGCATGATGAAGCATGAAGTGTGCAACTTCAGCTGGTTTTACAACTGGGTGAGTGGTATTTTGTGTTCCTAATTTGCATTTTGAATAAAATTCTGAAATTCTGCAACCTTTTTTCCATGTTGAATTTCTTAAATGCTGAAAAAAATATAAAATTTCGGGCTAAATTCCAAAAAAATCACAAATGTCCGTACGACAGATTTTATTTGTCCGTACGAGTTAGTTTTTTTGACTAAATGTTCTCAATACTTCATGGAAAACTAAAATATCTTTTAGAAAGGATTTCAACCCTCTAAGCAATTGCCTGTAGATTATATGATATCACTATCATGATTTTTTTCAGCATCAACTCACAGATTTTTTCATTTGAAGTTATATCTTGAAAAAATGCCTTTTCTCTGCATCCGTACGACAGATATTTATTTGGCCAAATTTGCATAAATAATGGAAAAATTGGTTTGGGAGTCCTGTGGCATATTCATTTGGGGTTAAGGGTCTATCATTTGGTAACAAATGATTTTCACCAAGCAAAGCCTGAAACTGTTCAATGTTCTGTAAATGTCCGTGCGACATACATGGAATTGCCCTATTCTGTTCAGTCTTTGGTTATGCCCTGGGCCACCTCCTCCTTGCAAACAACATGTTTTCCTCCTTGTGATTGATTTGTGATGCTGTCAATGTGATTTTGGGGGTTGCTATTTGAAGACCACAAAGGAAAAATAATCAAAAAAAATATTAAAAAATCCTAATTTTGCATTTTTGTATATTTTATATATTACATATCATTATAATATTTACTTGTATAATGATACATAATATTATATATTATTATAATATTTTATATATTTTATATTTTTTGCATATCTTTTTCAGTGCTTTGTTTCTAAGATTGTGGAGAAATGATGAATTAAAAATTCAAAACAATGTGAAAATGTGACTCTTAATTTGTTTCTATTGGCTCTGACTGTAAGATGGGGGCGTCAACCTTGGGAGAAAGAAAGGAGCCAGACAGGATGTCACACCCGTCCAAGTTACATTTCTGGAGAGGCCGTCAGCATGCATGAAAGTGCTTAAAATTGAAAGTGTTTTGACAAGAATGTAGCACATTATCAATGAACTGTTTATCACAAACATTACTTTAGAAGACCATTTAATCAATCCATGGGGTAAAATCAGATCGTGAAACAGGGTTTACATATGCTTTAAGTGTTTTTTCAGAATTTTACTGTCAATTTACTCAGACAGCTTGTGAAAAAGTTTTATTCTGCCAAATAGGTCTTGGTGTTCTGTTGGCTTTTGTAATGTGCAGGCAGTCATATTCTGTTAAAATGCCACAACAATTTTGTATAATGTCAGTTTATTTCTGATTAGGGTAGATTAAATTATGTATTTAATTTCAAGATGTAATGAATAGAACCATACAAATGAGAGTAGAAATGCAAAGGGAAAGTTATTTATGCAGTTCTGTGTTATTTATACAATGTCGGACTGATTCTGACCAAAATGGATCTGATGCATAGCAGACTTTATACCAATCATGTTTAGCAAATTTCATGCCAAACACAGATGATTACACTGTCCACAACAAAAACTTCATACATTCCAACTGATTGTTAATCAGGTGTATTTTTTAATCAGTAAGTGGGGCTGTATGTTTTACTTAATTGCTCAACAGGCACAACATTCACATACACTAGGCATTATACACTCAAGACACACAAAATTTTTTCATTATTCACATTCATTATTCTCTCTGCCAACACATTCATGCATTTCCGTATTATATTGCTGCCCCGCAGGCCCCTTACAGCAGCTTTACTGTATTTCTGCTCACTGAGTCGCTGTTCTAGCAACTATTTTGCTTGCTTCTCCATACGGTCTTTTAACCAACATTAAAGTGACCCATAGAGTGCTTTTGGGAAGTTTTCAGACCCCTTCAAGTTTTCCACATTTTGTTATGTTTCAGGCTCATCTTAAAATGGATTCAATTAATTTTTTTTCAAATCAATCTACACACAATACTTCACAGTGATGATGCAAAAACATATCCGTCTGATTGCATTTGGACACAGATGGAAGTTTTTCAGTTTCACAAGCGTTTTGGTAAATTTCTCCTCTAGTAACATGGAAACCGATTATGACTCTGGAATTCTCACGCTTCTTTTTTCTGAGGGGTCGGAAACTATGAAATTGCATAAAGATGTTTCAAATGATCTTTCATTTCATTTAAACAATTTAAACCATCGTGAAGCGCAAGTTAAATCACCTGATGAGCGGAAAGGGTAGCATGGAAGTTTCAGAGCAATTTGTCATTCGTAAAGCATGGCCCTATTTTTGAGTAAATTATTCTCCTGTACT